GATGCAGGGCTTGAACTCCCGAACCAGGAGATCACAACCTGAGCCGCAACCAAGATTCAGATAGTCAACTGACTGAGCCGCCAGGCGCCCCAGGTTACACTCTCCTCTTCACACATGTGGACACTTTTCAGGGGTTTCTGTATATGTGAGTTCTACGTTTTTGAGTCCTAGATTCTGTTTTATTCCTCTGAAGAGTGTTAGAGTGCTTACTCTGCCAGCCAGAGGCAACTGCAAATCAGTGGAACAGCTTTTGGGGTTTGATGCCTTAGCTTTTTGGTGAGTCTCAAGTAGCCTGACTTCTGGCTCAGCCCGTACCTGGGTGTGCGGCGAGCCCTGGCTGTGGGGAGTCACTCACAACCCGAGGGGAGCACCTTGGCCCCTAGAAATGCTTTTCCCTCAGGTGGCCCTCTGCCCGCCTCTGGGAGCGTCCCATCAGACACACATGGATGTGCCTAGCCACAGACCCAGTGCGTCAGTTCCGTGAGGCTCTTTCCCTGCCCGGGGCCCTCCCCTCTGTCTCTGTGCCCACAGACGCTGCCACCCTGACCTGTCTGTCTGGTTTCTAAATGCTCGTGGCCATAGGGTGAGTCCACCCTGGGGCAGCTGCAGGCCCTCGCCTGGTGTGGATTGGTCTGGTGGCTCTCGCGTACAGCCCCTCACCCGGCCCCTATGATGGGCACGTACAACCCCTCACCCCGCCTCTCTCCCGGGCAGAGAGCCACCACAGCCAGTGTGCAGACAGGCAGCATGACAGACTTCCAGCCAGACCTTGTTTTCCCAGAAAATAGTCATCAGGCTGCATGAGGTGTGCAGGCCCCAGCGGTAGGCCGTCCCCGGCACGAGGCCGACAGCCTGTGTAAGCTCACAAGGACACGAGGAAGCCCACAATCGCCCCCGCGGGTAAGCAGCAGCGTCACAATCTGGGCCAGCGTCTTCTGCGCTTTCTGACTGCTGTGTCAGCATCTGTCTGCTCACCGTTCATTTCCCCTAAAGTGAGCAGCCCCTCCTACGAGCAGACTGAAGCTCAGAAACCCAGGGGGGCTCGTCGAAGGTTCTTTCTCTTCAGCAAAGCTTCACAGAGCAGGGTTGGCCGCACTGGTGGTGACCTGGCCGTGGGCTGTGCACACGAGGCAGTTGTGGCTGGTGGCCTAGTGGGTGGGAGCAGAGTCTGAGCCAGAACACGTGAGTTCGGATTCTAGTTCTGTGGACGTTCTAGCTGTTTATCCCTGGGTTGGTTACTCAGCCTTTCTTTTAGAGAGAAGAAAGGACTGTGTGTGCTGGAAGATTCAGAAGGTATGAGGAGTGTGTGGTTCGCATCAGCTCTCCTTCCTCGGCCCCCGGGCTCCTAAGAGGCAGCCTCGCAAGAAGTTTCTTTTGTATGTACCTTCCAGAGGTGGTGTGCCGGCAGCCCCTGCGTGTGTGTACTTCGTGTGTGAGTGTGCGGGTGTGCGTGTGTGTACATGTGTGGGTGGGGGCGGGGGGTGTCCGGTAAGCTGTCATGTGCTATTTGCCAGGAGGCTCAGGGATATCACAGTTTGCACTGTTATAAATGACCCTCTGACATGCAGATTTTGCACAGTTACATAATCTGGGGAAATTGGGAATGAACTTGCAAACACGAACGTCGGTGTCTTTCCCCGTCTCGCACGTGCTGCTCAGGGTGGTGCCCGTGGGAGCAGGACGGGGCCTGAGGAGGAAAGAGCGGAGCTGCGGACGCCCTTGTCCTGGGTCTCAGGGCTGCGAGGCTGTGCGCCTCCTCGACACCCCAAGGGGGGCTTCGCAGGGGGAGCGCGGGTGAGGCCACCCTCACGCCTCCTCCCGGAGGTCAGTGCCCTCTCTGTGCGGCTCAGCTGAGCCTTCCCAGCGGCCGGCCCCCACTGCCGGGTTTACAGGGGCGCCGGGCAGCTCGGCCGCTTCTCCGAAAGAGGGCTGTGTCTGTGTTTGTGGTTTGCTGGGGTGTTTTTTTAAGGAAATTCACTTTTTGATTTTTCTAAATGTTTATTCTGAAAGAGAGCACGTGCGCCCATGAGCAGAAGAGGGGCAGGGACAGAATTCCAAGCAGGATCCGTGCGCTCGGCACAGGTCCTGACGTGGGGCTTGATCTCATGAACCTTGAGATCATGGCCTGAGCCGAGATCAAGTCAGACGCTCAACCAGCTGAGCCCCGTCCGCCCCGGGTGCCCCTGAGCTTTTTGATTTTTCATAGTAAATGGAGAAGGAGGGGAAACAGCCTCCCGAAAGTGTTACACCGGCACGGCTGTGAGCTCAGAGGACCAGTGCATGCAGCATTATCCTCCGCTCATACATTCCACGCGGAGGGAGCTCCGAAGCCTGATTTCCTTGGTCGTCTTCCTCCCTCCCCCGCCCCGTGCACACGCGGGGGTCCTGCGGCCCTGTCAGCAGGCCCCCCCCCCCTTCACACGTAACACTTCATGGGCTATTTTCGCAGAGTGAAGACTACCTTCCAGTAGTCAGGATTTCTTCTAAAATAATTTCCTGTGCACCAGGGAAAGCTCCAGGGCAGGAGTAAGTTCAGCTGGGAGAAGCAGAGAAGAGAAACCAGAGCATCAGTGGCTCGAGCAGGATAGGCGGTCGTTTGTCCTGCGCAGGCTGGAGGCTCACAGTCGCGAGGCGCCGGGCAGCTCCACGCCACAGCGTAGTCCCGCTCGCGGCCTGGTCACCGCAGGGTGGCCCTCGTCCCGGGATGCGCTGAGGGGTGGCCGGGCCCGGGCACGTGTGTCTCTGGTGCCGGTTCCTGAGCGGGGCTGCTGCACGGGGGGGTTTCCTCACGTGACGGACGTGAACGGGGTCTCCTTTGCAGGTTTATGTAAATGAGCAGATGCAGAAACGAGATAACGCGTAAGCAGCTTGTTAGCCCCCACGCAGTGTGCAGCGTTCTGAGCGGAAACCCTCCCTGGGGTCTCTGCCGGCTTAAATGTGCCCGAAACGGACCCTGAGGGTCTGGACCCGAGGCCGGTGAGACGCCAGGGGGCAGACGCCAGGGGGCAGCTGGCAGCTCCCGGCCCACTCGGCAGGTTGGACGTGCTGCTCCTTATTTGCTCTGCGGTTGAAAATTCGGTTTGCGAAGAGGAAAACAGCCACCTGTCACGTGCCCGGCCCACCCTCAGCAGGTCCTGCCACGACTGCCTGAGTGGCGGCCGCCAGCACGAAGGGACACCTTGACCTCAGAAACCCCGGGGCTCTGAGGGCGTGCACCATGCCCCGGCTGCGCAGGGTGGCCGCAGGGTGGGCGCCCCGAGAGACGCCGTCATCTGGCGGGCATGCTGTCCTTTCCTGCCATGGCCGTGGTGCCCGGGCGGCAGTCTGTGGGTGTTTCCGGGTGGCGCCCCGGCCTGGCCTCTCTCTTTGTTCCTGCTCCCAGTGGGTCGCCTGCTGGGCGATGGTGGCCCACCCGGGGATCTCCCTCACGGCCCCGCCCCTGAAGCCTACGCCCCAGCCTTGGGGCGCCCTGCGCTGTCTCCACGAGGTGCCCCGGGCCGTTCCCGGTGTGTCTGCAGCCAGGCTGGGGGCCGCCTTTCCCGGGGACGCGGCCCGTCCCCCCCTGCTCCCCCGCTGTTTACCCAGGACTTGCTGAGCTCTGCAGGCCCGCGGAGGCCAGTCCCTGTGGCCGTCGCCCGGGGCACTGCCTGCCTTACACCCACGCCCTTGTCGGAATCAGGGAGTATAAGAGCCCACGTCTTCCTGCCGCTTCCTGGAGTGCCCCTGCCCGCGTGCCACTCCCAGCTCACCCCTCCCACGCGTGCGCCGACGCCAGACCCCGGTGCAGGCTGCAGACTCGCCCTGCAAACCTGGGGCTCCAGCAGCTGGGAGAGAGGCCGTCGTCAGGGCTCTGGCTGGCCTGGGAGTGGCGTTCAGGGCCTCCCCGGCGCTGCCCACGTGCCCTCCAGTGGTTCCCCTTGCTGGGGCTGCCGGCCGATGCCTTATGCCGATCGGGATAAAGGAAAGACTGATGTATTTTTACGTTTTTTTTTAAGTTATCTATTTTGGGAGTGAGAGTGAACAAAGGAGGAGCAGAGAGAGTCCCGGGCAGGCCCCTGCGGGCAGCACGTCAGGCTCCAGCTCCCCAGCGTGACGACCTGACCTGAGCCGAAACCAAGAGTCAGACGCTTAACCTACTGAGCCCCCCAGGCGCCCCTGATCTATTGTGTTATAATACTTGAGTACTGTTTATTGTATTATACTTTAGTACTTACAGGCAGAATTTGGAAGTTTTGTGTGTAGTGTGTACAAATCTATTCACGTTGATGTGAAAATATGAAAAAGAAAATTCAGTGTTTTGTTCCCACTTATGTAATTTGGAAAACATGCTGTGTCTGAGCGTCTCCCTGCCTGCGCGGTGTGTCCCTCGGGTCCGGGTGTGCCACGTGGTGCGTCCCCCAGGTCTGGGTGAGCCACGTGGCCCGTCCCTCGGGTCCGGGTGAGCCACGCGGCATGTTCCTCGGGTCTGGGTAAGCCACGCGCAGCTCAGTCGCAAGGCCACCCTGCGGCTGGTGCTGCCTTCTGTGGCCACTCAGGGCCGGCGGGCCCCGGTCCTGCCTGCGACTGCGTGGCCCGGTCCCTCTGCCCTGCGGGTCCCCTGTCTGTGCCCGACTCCCCTTGGGTACACGGCGGAGAGACCGCGTCCTCCCAGCCCCACTGCTGCCCCGACAGACAACCCTCCTGGGTCCCGCCACGTCCCCCCCACGAGGCGGGGCCTGGCCGTCACCGCCCTCCTTTGTCCGCTTCCGTAACCTGCCCACGTGGAGGGCGGAGGGCTGAGGGCCCCCTGTTTCCAAATCATGCCAGGCCAGAGGCCGCCCCCGGGTCTGCAGGTGGAGGGAGCTGTCGCCGGGGCCCGTGGCAGCCCCCTTGGAGCAGGACCCGGCCTGGCGCGGGTCCCCTGGTTCCGTGAGGACGCTCGGATGCCAGCCACCCTCGGGCGGGCGAGCCGGGGGCTCCGTGTTCCTGCAAACCCTGTGACCGTGGCTTTCCCCCCACAGCTGCCAGGACGCAGGTACTGCCCTGGGTACAACGCGGACGTGGGCGACAAGTGGATCTGGCTGAAGTGACGGACCTTCCGCGGCCTGCATCACGGTGACAAGGACACTTCCAGTCTGCCTCACTTGTGGGGTCCCTGCAGCTTATCCGGGGCAGGGCTGGGTGACCCCAACGTGGCCCAGTGGGGGGGGGAGTCAGGGAGCCTCTTGCCTTTAGAAGGCCTGGGAAGCTGATCGCTTGGGAACGACCCATAATCACCACCCGGAAAACAAATCTGCTGTTAGAGACCAGCTGTCACTAGAATGCCCTCGCCTTGTAGTTGTGTTGTGCTCAGTATCGTGCAGATTTTGTACCTGCTGCCTTCAGACTTCAGGACATAAAAATAAAACCGTTTCCCTGGTGTTTGCCTCCATCGTATGTCTGCACACGTCATGTACACGTATGTGCACACACGTGTTTGCGAGCTTTTTCAGTGGGAGGCGAGGACAGAGAGGCCCCTGAGCACTTAGCCGTCCGGCTGCTGCGGGGGAGCAGGAAGAGGGAGGGGGGGCCAGAACGGGGAGAAACCACCACGCGTTTCTAGAACCACCCGTCTCCTCTAGAAGACGGGTCAGAAGACACGCAGGAACCCGGGGCTCCCTCCTCGGAGCTGCACCCCGGCCGCCCGCCCCCCTTGAAGCGCGGGACGCTGACGTGACGTGCAAGTGAACGTCACTCCTGGTACCTGCGCCCCACGCCCGACGCGGCAGTGCTCTCAGGCCTGGTGGCCGCAGACCCGCCCTCCCCCTCCCCCTCCCCCTCTGCCCCCCCCCCGCCTCTCCTCTTTCATTCCCTTCCCCTTGCCACCTTCCCTTTTACGGGGAGGGAGGGGCTCACAGTGGAAAACAAGTTCCCGGCAGCGGGTGACTGCGCGTCAGACCTCCGCGCCGAGCTCCGCGGTTACCGCCGCCGCCTCCACGCGGAAGAGCGTGGGCCTGGGCCGTGAGGCGCGGTTCCCGGACGCAGGCCTCCCAGACCACCAAGGAGAGGAGAGGGGAGGAAGCACATGTCCACTGTCGTGGCTGCCCCTCACGCCCCGGCCGTGGGCTCGCCCTCAGCCTCCGCACCGCGCCCCCGCGTCCCCAGCCGGTGGCGGGGTCAGCTGTGCGTCAGGCCCGATGCGCCCTCCCGGCTCGTGAGACCGCATCCCCCGGAGTCGGTCCCCACGGGGTGTGCGCTGGGTCGTGTGCCGGGCCAGGCTCGGGGTCGCCGCCGGCGTCTCCTCTCCTGCGAGTGCCGGCCAGAGAACAGCGAAGAAAGTGTGCAGGCCTCCTCTCCGGATGGAAACCCAGGCGGTGCGGAGACCCCTGCCGGGTCCAGAGCAGCCCGTGACTTCATTTCGCAAAAATGCTCAGCACCCCCGACAGCCCCAGGGTTGAAATAAAACCATGTGTTTTCAGTACCTCAGGTGGGAACGTTTGGTGCGTTAAGGACCCGGAGCTGAGTGTGCGCAGCACGTGGCTTCGCGTCTGCAATGCTTCTTACATGCGTGTGTGGGGACGAGAGGGTTTTGTGTCACAGAGAAAGTACTTCTTTCTCTCATAAGGACTCGTCTGTCCTATCAGAGTTTATCAGCAGGAGGCTGAGAACACGGAGCTTCTCAACGGGAGTCAGGCGTAGCTCCCGTGTCCACCCTGCCACCACCAGGGCAGGGTCTTACTTGCCAAAACCCAGTGTCAGACGCCATTTCCCCCAAAGCCTGCGGCCACTGGCCTGGCCGGGTGCTCTGTGTCGCCTCCCGGTCCCCATTTCTGCATTGCTTGTCGCTAGCGCCGCACCTGTCGGAACGAAGGCCAGCAGGCAGCTGCTTCCCCGCAGGAAGGCACAGTCCGTGCTCTCAGGGGGGCAGGTGTGCGGGATGCGGGGACGGAGAGAAAGCCACAATTCCTGTCACACACTTGGGCTTGTAGAGGGAAGGCTGTGTAGGCAGCAGCCCCTGGCGTCAGGGTCCGATGAACAGAAGAAGGTGCCCGAGTAATTCTAGGTTTTATATCTGGATGGAAATAAAGCCGGGAGCCCGAGGCTTTGCTTTAGGAGAATCAGGAGCCCGCAAACAGGCAGAGATGCTCAGCCGTCGCCCTATCGAGAGCCCTCGTCCCGTGCTGTCTGGACTGCACAGAGGAAAGGGACGTGTCCACGAGGTGACCCGCCCTCGCCCTCGGCCTCCCGCTGCCTGCCTGGGCTCGTTCTGGTGCCCCGTTGTGTCGGGGACCCCCAGCTGGGCTCCGCCGGGGCTGCACCCCGTTAGAAACTCCTCCCCCAAAGTCCCAAAGAGCCTAAAACTCCTGTGCAAAATGTGGTCGTCTGGCCTGCCGCCGCCACCGGGCCGAAGTGACGGCAGGCAGCTTCTGGAAGGGCCCTCCCAACAGGAAGCCGAAGAAAAACAGTAAGATCTTGTCTTTAAATGTGTAAGCATATGTCACTGGTCTACACTGTCGACTTGAAATTGTAGTAGCAGATTTTCCCCAGTGTTGCTCCCAGAGTTCACGTGAAGCTCCCAGGTTAGACCCGCCTATGGTTGCTGCAGCGTCTGCCCGGCGACCTCTCTGCCCCACGCAGCCCTGCCGCCCACCCGCCGCCCGCCCCGCAGCCCCACAGCCGTGTGCAGGGCGGGGGCAGAGGCCCGTGCGCCTGGCCCTCGGTTCAGAGCTGGTGAGCCCTCCTCCCTAGGAACCCAGACCCCGGGAACACGCGTCTCGGCCGTGCCCGAAGCCCCGGCAGCCGCTGGCGGACTCGGCACAGAACTGTGCCCGGATGTGACGGCCGCGCCTGTGGGGCACCTGGGGAGGCCCCGGTTCCGGATAGTTCTCCCCCCGCCTCCCCCAGGCCCTGCCGCCCGTCTCCACCTTAAGTCGTGCGGAAGGAGCATGGGGTCTGGGTGCGCGGCCCCCAGCGGGTGGAGGATGCTCGGGTGCTCCCCACGGCCGGCGTCCGCGTACACCATCCGGTCTGTGGTGTTTTGCACCGACCGCGAAGCCTGCTTCCTCCGCCGGCGAACGGGATAGACTCGTTTCTGTTGAAAGGAAAAGCAGAAGGCGCTTGCTACGCACGGGCCAGAGCCGAAATTAAAACGAGCCCCTCCTGAGGAGGGGAAACGGTCTTGCCGAGGCTGTAACTTAGGTGCAGAAAGAGCTCCAGGGGCCCGAAGTCCCGCCGCTGGCGAAGTGAGCCGTGTGTCCGCGGCGGCACTGCCGTCCGCGGCGGGAAGAGGTGGAAGGGAGGGGGCTGAGCTGCGCGGGGCTCCGAGTCCGCGCTGCGTCGTGAGTCCGTTAACTGACCATCACCCCGGCGCGGGCCTCTTCCAGCTGTTAGCCGTCTGACATGTGTGACACACAGAAGACAAATGGTCGTTTTTACCTGGTCAGAAATAACTCGAAAGACCCCAGACCTTTTTTTTTTTTTTAAACATTTGCCCCTTTCTCTTCCAGCAGCATCTGGGGGCTCCCCGCACCCACCATGTGCAGGTGACCGCTGAAGGCTCAGTGATGTACGGCCTCCTCCTGCCCTCCCTGGCATGGGGCTTGGGTCCCAGGCGCCCTCTGCGCCCACAGCTGGCCGTCCCTGAGCCCCCACCTCCCCGGTGCCGGGCGGGCCCCTCGGGGTCGGGGATGGCGCGGGTGCGCAGGGCGACGGAGAAAGCGGGTGGCTTTCCCCGCAGTGACTGGGCAGGAGCTGGGCCCCGGCGCGCTTCCGCGGACATGCGGGCGTCCTGCCGGCGGAGCGAGCTCGGCGGCTGCAGGCCCTTGACGTCCGCGCTGGCGGGCTGTGTCCACGCGGATGCAGCCTCTCCGCGTTTTAGAGGCCAGCGCTGCCTCCCGTTCAGAAGGCGGGTGATTTCCGGAAGCTGGCAGGGCAGAGGGGCACACGGGGCCGTGGGCGCTGTACAGGGGTGAGCACAGGGGCCAGGCGCTCGGCGTGGGCTCACACACAGGCCTCTGACAGGCGCCCCTGCTCCCCCACCGCATACGCCCTGCCCGGAGCTCTCCAGGCTGACCCGGGGCGAGCCGTGCGTCCTCCCTGCGCGCCCCCTGGGGGCTGGAACCGGCTGCCGCGGGCTGTGGAGGTGACCGTGCCGCCCACCGGCTCCTTCCGGGGGCTCGGAGGGAGGCTGCTCCCTGGCCTCGGCCCCGTGGCTCCCGGACCCCCTCGCCCCAGCTGAGCCCTGCTCCTGCCTCACGTGTCCTCTGTCCCGTAAGGACCCTCGTGATGACGTCACCCTGTAGAGCGTCGGGACTGTCCCACCGCAACGTCCTTACCTGCAGAGCCCCTTGTGCCACCCGAGGTCGCGCGCCACCGCCCCAGCAGGGGGGCTGACGTGGGTCTGCTGCAGGTGCCCGGCGGGACTGTCGGGGCGGCCTCCCCACCTGGCGCCTCACCTCCCGAGGGCCCGGCCGGGAGGACTCCCCGCGGAGAAGGGGTTTCGTGTTACGGACTGCACTTTGCCGTCCCTGGACGCCGCCAACAGCCCCCGCTGGTGTGACCCCCCCCCGGTCTCCTCGTGCGGAGCCGTCGCTGGGTGTCCCCGTCCAGGGCTCGCCCCGGGACGAAGCCGGGCCACCTGTCTCGTGACGGACGTGAGGGGAAAGGAGGCCCTGCCTGCACCTGGCACAGTGCGTGGTCAGAGCACCTCTCACCTGTCGGGCCCGGGGCAGGGCCTGCAGGGGGGCGCCCCTGATCGCAGCTTCCTCCTGCCCCCTGCTCCCCAGGCACCCCCCGCCTCGGCCCCCCATGGGCTCCCACGCAGCCTCTCCTGTGTCTGGGCCTCTGCTCCCCGTCCACAAGCCTCCCCACCCTGGCCCCGCCCTCAGCCTGTCCCTGCCGACTAGGAAAGCGGGGACTGTGCGCTGGCGTTCTGTCGTGGGCCGGGCCCGGAGGCCGCCGAACGGCTCGCGTGGACCCTCCGCTGCACCAGGAGGGCCTGTGGCTGGCAGCTCTGCGGAGGCCGCCTCCTGCGCTGGCCGGAGGAGGCTGCCTGCACGGGGCGGGGGGGCGGGGGCCGCCGGGGGGAAGGGTACCCAGCAATCCGGGGCGCTGCACGTGTGCAGACCGCCCCCCCCCCCCCCCCCCCCCCGCCGGGCCTCCCGCCTGCTCTGGTCTGGTCGTGTAGACCCCTCCCTGCAGATGAGCACGGCGGCCCCGGCGGCCCCTCCGCGCCGCCCGGTGAGGCTCCAGAGCCCACTCCCGCCCTCAGCCCCTGGCCTGGCTCCCTGGGAGCCCGAGGGCCGTCTGGGCGCGGGCTCCTGCTGGGCCTCCAGCCTGGACGTCGGGGCCCCTTTACTGCTGACAGCCCTGAGGTTCGGGATGTGCGCCCCCCGGAGACGCGGTGAGGAAGCACAGGACACAGGCACGGGCTCTCTGACGC